TTTTTCATCCCTTGTGTTTTGCTATATTGGATAATGTTCTCTTGGCAGCTATGCAATGCGTACACGGAGTTGAACGATCCTGTTGTGCAACGCCAGCGTTTTTCTGACCAGCTCAAGGTATTTGTTGCGAAAACATGAATTATAAACTACGCGTGAGGGTTTTTTGTATCAAAATTATCAATACCTCATGAGGGTTTCCCTTGAGATTTGCTTTCTCTAATTATCCATAAGATTGAAACAAATAACGAAGTTGCTTGTTGTTATTAGACTAAATATTTTTTGTAATTAAACTAATCCTAGCTCTTTTTAATTAGGCCCTTGTGATTATTTGCATGCATAGTATACTCAAGTAACTTGCTAAAGATCTTTTGTTGTTGGTTGTAACTAGGATCGACAATCGGGTGATGATGAAGCTATGGCCTTAGACGAAACATTCTGTACTGCTCTTGAATATGGTTTACCTCCAACTGGCGGCTGGGGATTGGGCATTGACCGATTCGCAATGCTGTTGACCGATTCACAGAACATAAAGGTTAACTTAACTTGTCCCTTCATATATATTATTTGTAATTAATATTCTTATCAATACTTATGTTGTTTCAAAAAAAAAAAATAAAAAAAAAATACTTATGTTGTTTCCAGGAAGTATTGCTCTTCCCAGCAATGAAACCCCAAGATGAGCCTTCGAACAAAGAAGGGTAAATAATTTTTAATTTTGAAAGGTTTTAACTGTTCTGCAGTTAAACTAGTTTCTGTAACTACCACCTTAATTTTATTTTTTCTTTCCCCATTTTATAGCCATTGTGAGTATGATAAAGTTGACATTAACTTTGTTTTCTTCAGCAACAAGAAAACACAGGATGCTCCCTCTCAAGGTACACAATGTATGATATTTTTTTCTCAGCAATATATCCTTTTTTTCTTCTCCGAAATATGTTCTCTCTTGATGTTTTTTATGCTTAGTGAACCATTTTGTTATTCATTTAGTTGCTATATTTCCTTAAGGAAAAGACGTTTGTGAAACTTTTTTGTTTTTGGATTTGAATGCAGAGCTTGAGAAGTTGTCTTTGAAGTAAAAATTATGAAGGACACTCAATTTGGGGGATGAATGATGAGAAATTTTGGCTGAAAAAACTCTCAAGATTTACAATTACATTCCGAGCTGCCAATCGGAACATTTGATACATGGATACAATTCCAATATTGAAAAATCTCATGATTTACATGCAATTTTATAGAAATCATGTTAATGCAGAACATGTACTGATGCAGTGGATTTTAGTGTTTGTTTTGTATTATTTTTTCAATTGAGCCTAAGTACTTGATGTGAAATGTTTTGATCAAAATCCCTTCTCTTGGAAAGAAATTTCTGTCTGACTCTAAAAGCAATGTTGAATGCAAAGATATTCCAATGATTCATTTTCATGATCCACTGTGCTTTCTCCTGTATCCATGCAAACGAGACAAATACCTCTACATGGTGTAATGAACAGAATAAACCACACATTGCACAATTACATTTTAATCGCTCCAAATAGGCCTAGGGGACAATTTTCGTCAAGTTCTTTGCGCTTCTCAACTGTTATTACCCAACATGCGGCCTCGCCTCGCGGAGGACCTATGTGCGGCCCCTACTCCTTCCTCCGTCGTAGAAGCCAATGCGAGGGAGTTGATGTCCTTTTTCAAGGATATTCTTCCCACCGGGGATCTCGAGCTTGGTTGCTCAGATCTTCGAGTTCAGAGCGAGCATATTTTTCGCTCTTTGGCACAGGTAAATATCCAACCTCTGTCCTCGTTAAATATGAACTACATTCTTCGCATGCTAACTTTCGTTCTGCTCATTTCATTTGTGCCTAATGTAGGGCTTTGTTCGTCCGGTGCCTTTGCTCGATGATGCCCTGTCGGGCTCAGGTCGGACAATCCCTGAGCTTGAACAAGGCATGAAGATTCTGGCTGACGAGAACCAGCGCCTGACTCAGGAGCTGAAGAAGGAAAAACGGCGCCACGCCGACGATGTTCGGACTCTTGAGGATATGCTCGAGAAGGAAAAAGCCGCCCGAAAAGAAGACCAGCAGAGGTATACTATGGCTGCTGCTGGCCGAGCTCGCCAACTACTCTGGCATACTCATCTCGGCCATCGCTTCTTGAAAGAATATCGAGAGCAAATGGTCGCCGACTTTTTGGAGTCACCTGTGTTCTTGAAGGAGTTGTGGGATCTGGGTGCCGACTACTATCGGGTCTGCACGGAAAAGACGAGTGAGCAAATTTGCCACGATGACTTTGAGGGAGACCTCGATGTCGATAATATCTGGCTCGCTCTGCCTAAGGCTCCTCAAGGCTTCAAAGGCGATCCTGAATTGCCCCTCAACCACGCGTGGTGGACTAAGACGCTTGAGCGGACTCTGGCCTAGTCCACCACGTTGAAGAAAAGTTTCGATCCCTCGGATCCTAATATGTTGCCTGTTGCCATGTCTATGGCGGAGTCAACTTGACTACGTCCTTTATCCGATCAAGCCGAATCGACCTCTGGCTCAAGCTAGCAAATCGAGACCCCAGTCGAGCCTACTCTCCAGAGCCTGAACGACAAAATCGCCCTCGAGCAGGCTACAAATGCGGAGACTTTAAATGTTCCATGAAAACCTTGTACTTTTCGCTTCTGTTTTTGATGTACTGAATATGTATCGTTAACTTATTAATGAATGAATATTTATCTTGTTCGATCATGCTTTACTCCTTTATCTATTTTTGTAAGATGTGTTGTGTTGGATCCTTGTGGTGATATGCAAATTCATTCAATCACGTGAAGGCTTTAGCGCGACCGCACCTCCACGCAACTAAGTAATCACTCACGGATATCACATAAATTTGCAACAAGTTACTCCTTTGATCGACCTTTCACTGAGGTTGTTTCAATTTGAAAAAATTATATGAGGGTTGTATCAAGATATCTTGCGAATCTACCCACCACCGAGGAATGCTTAATTTCAATTTTATCGTTTCAACCACCTGCCCGCCTCAAAGAGAGGTGTTCAAAACAAGCGACCACCAAGCTCGAAAGCTTTAAACATGGTGAATTTTTATCTTTTCAGTAGCTCGATTCTCTCGAACCGTTCTAATGTTGTAGAAATCTACTGTAAATTATTCCAAGTATCTTTCCACCGTTGAGAACATTCAACTTCATTAATTGCATACCCCAAAGGATGTTCAAAACAAGTGACCACTCCGCCTCATAACTTTAATCATGGTGAATTTTTTTTCGACCACTTGCCAACCACGAAGGATGTGCAAAACAAGTGACCACCCAGTCTCATAGCCTTAATCATGGTGGATTTTTCTTCATCGCCCACCCCGAAGGATGTTCAAAACAAGCGACCACCCAGCCTCATGGCCTTAATTATGGTGAATTTTTTTCTTCGACCACGTGCTCACCCCGAAGGATGTTCAAAGCAAGAGACCACCCAGCCTCATGGCCTTAATCATGGTTGATTTTTTTTTCTTCGACCACTTGCCCACCCTGAAGGATGTTCAAAACAAGCGACCACCCAGCCTCATGGCCTTAATCATGGTAGATTTTTTTTTTCTTCGACCACTTGCCCACCCCGAAGGATGTTCAAAACAACCACCACCCAATCTCATGGCCTCAATCATGATGGATTTTTTTTTCTTCGACCACTTTCCTACGCCGAAGGATGTTCAAAATAAGCGACCACCCAGCCTCATGGTCTTAATCATAGTGGATGGTTTTTTCTTCGACTACTTGCCGCCCCGAAGGATGTTCAAAACAAATGACCACCCAGCCTCATGGCCTTAATCATACTGGATTTTTTTCTTCTTTCGACCTCGTACTTGGATCGACCACCCAACTTGAAAGTCTTCGTCATGGTGGATTTTTCTTATATCAAAGTGACCTGCCACTGAGGTCACACCAAAATACTCCAAAATAGATAATTTGATAACTCAAAAAATCATAGAACAATAACGTAAATTCTCATTAATCACGAGTAGAAATGTCGATTACACCATTTTTCGTTAGTTTTCAAGAAAAAGAAAAATTTAGACATAATATTTTTCAGATTAGCAACATTCCATGACCTGGCCAATGATCGTCCCTCAACATCTTTTAATGAGTATGCTCCTCCATGATGCACCTTCTCGGCCAAGTATGGTCCCTTCTCCCAATTCAGCTCTAGCTTGTCCACGTGTTTCAGCACGTCGACTCTTTTTCAAACTAGATCACCCACCTAGAATCTTCGGATCCTCACCTTCCTGTCATGTGCTGCTCGCATCCTCTGCTTGTAGGCCTCGACTCTGGTCAAAGCCAGTTCTCTCGACTCCTCGATGGTGTCCAGGGTCCCTAACATCAACTCCTCGTTTTGGCCACAATCATAAGGGCTCGATCTCTGAGATTGCGACTCCACCTCGACCGACAATAGTGCCTCCATCCCATAGACCAAACTGAACGGTGTTTCTCCAGTTGTCGACCTCGGGGTGGTCCGATATACCAAAAGTACTGAAGTAAGTTCATCGACCCACGCCCTTGAAGCCCTTTCAAGCCTCGTCTTTAGCCCGTTCAGTATCATCCTATTGGTCACCTCGACTTGTCCGTTGGCCTGCAGATGAGCTATAGAAGCAAAATGTTGCTCGATCTTCATGTCCTCGCACCATGCTCGAATCTGCTTGTCATTGAATTGTGTCCCATTGTCAGACACCAACACCTTTGGGACTCCAAACATGCATTAAATACTGTATATAAAAAGTGTATAACTTTCTCCTCTGTTATCTTGGCAGAGATCGGCCTCCACTCACTTTGTAAAGTAATCGACCACCACAATAAAAAAAATTCTGCTCAGTTCCCTGTGGCATTTGCCCCACTAGGTCGATACCCCACTGCGTGAATGGAATAGGGGCACTCATTGTTTTCACAGATTGATGAATGAGAGGACCGTGCTTTTGGCACTGTAGACATTTTTTCACCATCACCCTTGCATCCTCCTTCATCGTCGGCCAGAAATATCTTGCTCGCAGTATCTTTGCCACCAAGGCCCCTGCCTTACTATGATCGCTGCAACACCCCTCATGTACCTTCTTGAGCACATATCGGCTTTCCTCTCTCGTCACACATCACAAATGTGGCCCTGCGTAAGACCTCTTGTATAAGACTCCTCTGTGCTTGAAAAACCTCTTTATCAACCTCACAACTCCTTTAGTATCGATGACCTCCAGTCCTCGACCTCTTCAAATCTCTGCTACTTCAGCCTCAGCCGCACTCTTCTTCATATGCAATAAGGTCAAGCTCCTACTCTTGCAGTCCACCAGATTCTGCGTAAGACCTCTTGTATAAGCTGTTACGTTTGCTTCGTATAGCTTGTTGGTCACTTTCTTGAGGAGACATGTGTGAACCCTACATTCATTATCGACCATCCTGAGATCATGAGTCCACTGGCAAAGTGGCATAGGTCCAAACCAGGCTTGACCGAACGGTTTGAGTTGTTCATCAACAAGCATGAAGTATGTATATCAACAATACATTTCATCCCCTCACTTTTCTATATTTTTTTTTTTTTTTTTTTTTTTTTTTTTTTTTTTTTTTTTTTTTTTTCAGTTTCATCCCTTGTGTTTTGCTATATTGGATAATTCTTGGTTATCTTATGTTCTCTTGGCAGCTATGCAATGCGTACACGGAGTTGAAAGATCCTGTTGTGCAACACCAGTGTTTTTCTTACAGCTCAAGGTATTTGTTGCGAAAACATGAATTATAAACTACTCGTGAGGGTTTTTTGTATCAAAATTATCAATACCCCATGAGGGTTTCCCTTGAGATTTTCTTTCTCTAATTATCCATAAGATTGAAACAAATAATGAAGTTGCTTGTTGTCTGAAAGAAACTGGGGGAAAACAAATAATGAAATTGCTTGTTGTCTAAAAGAAACTGGGGGAAAACGGGTGCGGGCCCACTAACATGAAGCGCACCATGACAAAGGAAATCCCAGATGAAGCCCAAGTGGGGTTCCATCCCAAAACCAATTGGTGGAAGAAGGAGTAACCCATTAGTCTTATAAAGTGGGTCTATTTTTCATGTATGAACGATGTGGGACAACTCACAAGTGATATTCTAACACGCCACCTCACTTGTGAGTCCTTCGAAAGCCCAAGTCCAATTGGCTGGGTGACGAGTACGTCATTGCACGGTCACCTATAGAACCGACTCTGATACCATGACAGAAACTGGAAGAAAAATTCTCACAAGTGATATTCTAACACGCCACCTCACTTGTGAGTCCTTCGAAAGCCCAAGTCCAACTGGCTGGGTGACGAGTACGTCATCGCACGGTCACCTATAGAACCGGCTCTGATACCATGACAGAAACTGGAAGAAAAATGGGTGCGGGCCCACTACCATGAAGCGCACCATGGAAAAATGGGAAAAGCCCATATGAAGCCCAAATAGGCTTCCATCCCAAAACCAATTGGTAGAAGGAGTAGTCCATTAATCTTATAAAGTGGGTCTATTTTTCATGTATGAACGATGTGAGACAAACTCACAAGTGATATTCTAACATTGTCATTAGACTAAATATCTTTTGTAATTAAAGTGATCCTAGCTATTTTTAATTAGGCCCTTGTGATTATTTGCATGCATAGTATACTCTAGCAACTTGCTAAAGATCTTTTGTTGTTGGTTGTAACTAGGATCGACAATCGGGTGATGATGAAGCTATGGCCTTAGACGAAACATTTTGTACTGCTCTTGAGCATGGTTTACCTCCAACTGGCGGCTGGGGATTGGGTATTGACCGATTCACATGTTTTTAACATAAAGGTTAACTTAACTTGTCCTTTCATATATTATTTCTAATTAATATTCTTATCAATATTGAATTCTCTACAACATGTACTTATGTTGTTTCCAGGAAGTATTGCTCTTCCCAGCAATGAAACCCCAAGATGAGCCTTCGAACAAAGAAGGGTAAATAATTTGTAATTTTGAAAGGTTTTAACTGTTCTGCAGTTAAACTAGTTTCTGTAACTACCACATTTTTATTTCTCCCATTTTATAGCTATTGTTATTATGATAAAGTTGACATTAACTTTGTTTTCTTCAGCAACAAGAAAACACAGGATGCTCCCTCTCAAGGTACACAATGTATGATATTTTTTTCTCAGCAATATATCCTTTTTTTCTTCTCCGAAATATGTTCTCTCTTGATGTTTTTTATGCTTAGTGAACCATTTTGTTATTCATTTAGTTGCTATATTTCCTTAAGGAAAAGACGTTTGTGAAACTTTTTTGTTTTTGGATTTGAATGCAGAGCTTGAGAAGTTATCATTGTCGTAAAAATTATGAAGGGCACTCAATTTGGGGGATGAGATGAGAAATTTTTGGTGAAAAAACTCTCAAGAGTTACAATTACATTCCCAGCTGCCAATCGGAACATTTGATATATGAATACAACTCCAAGATTGAAAAATCTCATTGTATACATGGAATTTTATAGAAATCATGTTAATGCAGCAGTAACATGTACTAATGCTGTGGATTTTAGTGTTTGTTTTTGTATTATTTTTTCACTTGATCCTAAGTACTTGATGTGAAATGTTTTGATCAAAATCCCTTCTCTTGGAGAGAAATTTCTCAGTCTGACCCTAAAAGCAATGTTGAATATAAAGATTATCTCTACATGGTGCAATGAAACAGCACAAACATGCAATTGTGATCACTCTTTGCCACCAAATAATCGCACTTTTCCAAGGGGGACAAAATATGCAGTTACACATTACACAATTACATTTCAATCGCTCTGAATAGACTTCAGTCACAAAATTCCCGTAAAGTTATTTGCGCTTTTCGCCTTATATTACACAAATGTAGGGCCTTTTTCTGCAAGCTTGCTTGAGGCAGTTCTTCATTGAAACCCTCACGAATGTTGAAAATTTCAGTCACTATTGTACAAATTTTAGTTTTTCCATCACAAAGAACTCAGAAAGAGCATCACTAGATGGAGGATAAAAATGCTACAAAGATCGAGAGGATGATAAACTCGGAGTTGATCTTGGCTGCAAAGAAGCCAACAAAGAAGCACCTGATCTCGGTGGCGAAGATAAGTAAGGTTTCGGCGGAACACACAACGATTCTAATTTTCCCTCCAACATTTCAATCACCTTGCTCATCGTTGGCCTATCTTTCGGGTCGATCTGAATGCACCACATCCCCACAATTATCAACTTTCTTCTTATTAACCCACTGTCCTCTACATCCACAACTCCATCGAGCCTCACCCCACTTCCGACCTCCATCTGCAGTTGCCTGTACAAATAGTTCGGAAAATACACATCACTTGTATTCTCAACATCACCCCTCTTGATATTCCCTGTGCCTCCGGCCATCTCCAAAACCATCATCCCATAGCTATAAACATCCGATTTATACGAAACTTCGCCGAAATTCCTACAAAAGACTTCCGGCGCAATGTACCCCATAGTTCCTCTTGCCCCTCGCATAGACACTACGCTCGATCGGTTAGGACATAGTTTGGCCAACCCAAAATCCGAAATTTTGGGGTTGAATTCTTTATCGAGAAGGATGTTGTGTGGCTTCATGTCCAAGTGCACGATTCGTGTGTTGCAACAATGGTGTAGGTACTCGAGTCCACGTGCGACACCAAGTGCGATTTCAGACAGTTTTTCCCATTCCAAGAATTGAGATTCGAGAGTATTTTGGTGTATGTACTTGTCGAGAGAACCGTTTTGCATGAACTCATAGACGAGGGCCCGTTTGGAGCCCTCGACGCAAAAGCCTAATAGGGTGACTATATTGACGTGGGAGGTTCGTCTAATGCTTGCGACCTCGTTTATGAACTCGCCTCCATTGTTGTTGTTGTCTTTGGACTCGTTTATGAGCATCTTCACGGCTACTTGATGGCCGTCGGGCAATTCGCCTTTGTACACGCTACCGTAGCCTCCTTCGCCGAGTTTTTCTTTGAATGACTTTGTGATTTTCTTGAGATCCGAGTATCGGTATTGTTTGTGCGCGAAATTCTTATGGTCTTTGAGGAAGACTTCGATGTCTTTTTGTTTGTTTATCTTTCTAAGTAAAGGCCATTTTGATGCAAGTCTATATCCCTTGGTGAATAAAATGAAGAAGATGAGAAGAGTGATTGAGAGGCTAAATACACCACCTATGCCACCTGCCATGAAGAAACAAAAATATATATAAGGATTTAATTAACTGAAGTTGAGGCAAAGAATTTTGTCTAGAGATTGATTTGATCACTAAATTTTAACCCAAAGACTATGAGAGTATTTTAATTTCTAGTAAATGACCTGTGAGTAGAGCTACTTTGACTGTCTTCCTGTTTCCTGAAAGACAAACGAGACCAACAAGAACCTTACTTTAGAACAAAAGCAACATAAAACAAGTCTTTATGAGGACAAAAGAACAGAGGAAATTGCAAAATCGTCCTGCACGTGAGTCATTCATCAAACTCAATGAACTTGAAAATCAACATGAAACCTCAAAGTCAACATTTTTGGCTCACTAATCATACAGACTTGAGGTGTAACTGATAAATACCATACTTATTTTAACTAATTATCTTTTCCAATCATTTGTCTCATACTTTGTATAAAATCAACTTTAATTATTTTATTTTAAATATTATTTTAATTTAAACTTAAATTTTCATTAACAACTAACTATACCACATTTTTTAAAGTTAACTATAATTAACAAATAAATAAATAAAAAATCAATCAAATCCATATCCAATCACACCCTAAGTAATCAATAAATACTGAAAATTAAAAAAAAAAGAAAAAAAAATTACATTTAAAAGATATAAAATAAAAAGGGACAATATATTGAGCTACTAATTACCTCCTTGTGATGTGCAAGAAAACTCATTCCCATTAGTACTCCCACAAACCCCTCCCCTTTGATAACAATCCAAACAAACAGCAGACACATTCCACTCCACATCAAACTCCCCACTCAACCCCAAAACACCTAAAACATTCCTCGAACCCCCGAGCGGCAGCACGACAGCCTGGCACGCTTCCGGCACGGCAACTTCTCCGCCCTCCGACCAGTTTCCCGGCGACCTATAGAACACCACGAATCCCGGGCAGCCCGCGAACCTGGTATAGTTCTGTGCGAAGAAGTATTGGTTTATGAGGGTCGGGTCCTGATTCAGGGGCGGGTCATTACACCGGAAAACGGTCGTGACCCGGGACGAAACCCTCAGCGAAATACTCGGCGAGCTCGTCGGCAGGCTTAGGCCCCGCACGAAGGAGCTACAGCTGGATGTGTTTAGTCTGGTTTGGAGAAGGGGATCGCGGATCCTGAACGAGCTTTCGGAGATCCGGCGGACAACATCGTACCATGGTCCGCCGTTCTCGAGCTGGATTGATGGGCCTGCGCAGTCGATGGTTAATGGGCCGCGACATGTGGTTTGATTAGGGTTAGAGATTGGGAATTGGAGAAGGCCCAGATTTGGACAGTGGAATGAGCGTCGTCGGAGGCAGTTAGAATCTGCGGAGATGAGATGATGAATTAAGGATAAGAAAATTATAAGGTACTTGCTGGTGAGGCTCATGTCTAATTAGGTTATTAATTTCTTTCTAGTGGTGAGCAGAAAATGTGAACTTGAAAAAGGAACGCGTGTGAGTTCGTTCGGTTCCTACATTAGTCAATTTAATCAGATAGTTTGGCTGGCGGTGTTAAAACTTTACACGTTATAGTAGATGGAAAGGTCATACACTAAAAAAAGGGGATATGCTTAAAAGGGGTCCTTAGGTAGGCTACAGTTTGAAGTCATGAAAGGCAGGGGAGATATAGGTGGGGACTTAGGTGGGCAAGGAGCATTCTCAACTAAATCCTTTCCATACTCTCGCTTTGAACACATATAACTCACACACGCACACACACACATGCACAAAATGTAAAGAATAGATGACAACATTGTTGAAGTTAGTCCTTGGAGTGACTCACTAGTTGCTTGCTGCCATAATGGGCGAAACCAGGAAATTAATTGAGAGGGGGCAAAAGACATGACAAAAAATTTGGGGGTAAAAAAATAATTTAAGAGGGGGGCAAATTAAAATTTTTAATTATAATAGTAAAAAAAATTAAAACTTGAGAGGGGGCAATTGCCCCCTTAGAGCGATACATGTACTTTCGCCCCGGACCATTAGTTGTTTAGGGCTAGTTATAGTCGTGTAGCTAAGAAAGTCGTATTTTCTTTTCGTTCACTTTTTTTGTTGTTAAGTTCACACATCGTTTTACCTTTCCCGGTTTTTATTTTCTCTACATTGTGAGACGTGCTATAAGTAGGGCGAGACTGTAAGTTCTTTTCTCATTTTTCTGAGCTAAGAAAATGAGTTCTTTGAATTCAATGAATCTTCTCCAAAATACACAAATGACCATGACCTATATCAACATGGTACCAGAGAGTAAGATCTAGGGTTACAGTGGAAGAAATTTCGATTCGATTATGGAGTTGAGAAGAGAAAATGTGTTCAATGTTTTGGGATTTGGAGTGAAACAAGGAGGTGTTCTTCATGATCAATGCTCATTGTTTTCACATGGCTCAGATCATCTTGGTGATGCTTGTCTCGAATCCTCTAAATATAAACAATCTTTTTTCTTGGAAACAGTCAATGATCATTGCTCTAGGTGCAAAAATGAAGCTCGATTTTTTTAAAGATGAAATCTTAAAACCTTATGTGAATGATGATGATGATTATCCTGCTTGGAAAAAGGTAGATTGGATGATTGTCGTGGATATTGCGGAGTCATTTATCTATACTGAATCCTCCAAGGATCTTTGGGAAGATAGATGTCAGATATATGGATAGAACAATGGACCGATGAAGTATGAGCTATAGAGAGATATCAGTTCATTAACACAAGGAAACAATTGTGCGATGAATATGCAAATATTGTACCAATTCAAGCCTGTATTTGTCTATAGGGAAGGATAGTTGCATGAAATGATGCAGACACCAAACTGAAACATTTCTCATGGGTTTAAATGACAATTGTGATACTCTGAAAAATAAAACTATGATAATTGATTCGTTGCCAAGTGTGATTAAAGCCTATTGTATGATTCTTACAGTTGGAAGGTAGAGAATGGTTCACAATAGCTATGTGGGTAGAGTGGATAATGCAATACTCTATGATACTGAGTAATTGACTTAATGTCAAGTAAGATTTTATTTGATGATGTAGCAAACTTGCACTTGGGCTTTGATTTTCAACATTCAATCAGATGAATTTATTACGAATCATTAGAAATAAATATCCCACGGGATGATTATAGAAAATTATTAGGAGCGTACATGCCTCTTTATCTGACGACGCATAATCCTAGTAATAGACTTAATTTCAAGTAATGTGTAACACTTAAAATATAAATAATAATATCTTCGTCATCAGAGTCACTGCTATTTTTTATATGGGCCGAAGGAACATCGACTATCAGTTTTATGAGAAATTTTTATGTCTCCTATATGAAATTAAAAATATTATAATTATACCATTGGTAATCAAATAATTGTATCTACCTAAACAAAGAATCTTTACTGCATATAAACCTAAAAGCAGTTACAGAACCTCCATCCCCTATTTTCCGCAATTATAGCCGATATCCTTCTTAAAAAAAAAAAATCCCAGAGTGAGTTCGATCAACAAGAAAACAAAGTTTTGAATTTGAGGTTTATAATCCCAATCGAGAGGAAAACAAAATCAGAGATTCAGATCGATCGAATTACAACAGGAAAAGAAAATAAACGTGAAAGGACGATTTTGCTGAGGTATGTTTATTCTTTGTAGAAAGCTTTTCCTCTAATTTGTATGTTATTAAAATTTGAAAACAGTTCTGCCGTTTTAGAAAAAAAAAAAAAAGTTTTGGAAACAGATTTATTTTATTGATTTTATGTTGGTGAAGTTTAGACACAGAAAACCAAACAAACACAATAACTTACCACATCAAAATTGCATTAATTGTAGTTACCATTCACATCGGACAATACCACTTTTCCATCCTCAGTTCCATCCTCGTCTACAAGCTCTCCTGCTTGCGTGCGTTCGAGCCAGTGATTCCCCTACTGAACGAGATCCACATTTTAGGGATCAAATGCAGCAAGAATATGTTCATCACCCTCATCCGAAACTACGACATCGCAGGCCGACCGAAGTGTATATTTTAGTATATGTTATGTATATGTGGGTTCTGAACAAGATCCGCAGTCCAGGGATCGAGCGTATATTTTAGGTATATTTTATGTATATGTGGGTTCAGAAATCGATTTTGAGAAACGATTGAAACTCGAGTGTATAATTAAAGTATATTTTAATGTATATGTGTGTCCCGATCTGTCGCTGGCTTGAACTACGAGAATCTCGAATGTATATTTCATGTATATTTTATGTATATTTGTACAACTTTGGTATATACTGTATATACTCGCAACATATACCCGCGACATGTAAATTTTCATATCTGATGGTGAGATATACAATCATGTACAGAATTTTCATACCCAAAAACATATAAATTTTCATACCTCGAAACATATACTGAAAATATACTGTATATACCCGCAATATTTACAGAATAGAACTAACTATCAACGATTCAAGCACACCAAGTGTTCGACAATTATCCTCTGAGAAGTTTTTCGTCAAAACGTATTCAATCATGGCCAAAACAACACCAAATTATTCGTCAACAAAAAAATGAATACCAAAACAAGAAACGTGAAATTTTATAAAGAAAAAAAAAACGAGACGAGCCAATCATAAATATTTCTAGTTTATTTATAGTTTATTAACAGTATATTTCTAGTTTAAAAAGATATATTTCACGTTTTATTAATAGTATATCTTTCAGGTTTTTATTAACATTATATTTCTAGTTTTAATTTTTTTTTCTCCTCCTTCAGAATTTAACTTTCGAATTCAATGATTTCCGTTTCAGTATATTTGCAGTATATTTCTCCATCAAGCGACCTCCCCTCTGGCTGGGAGTACCTCATTCTCTTCAACTCCACCACCGTCGGCAATGCCTCCAACCACGTGTTCGCCATCGAGTTAGACACTGTCCCGAACTTCGAGTTCAACGACGTCAACAACAACCACGTCAGTCTAACCATAGGCCTCACTATCTCTGCTTTTCTCTTCTTACTAACCCTAATTTCAATTTTCCTTTTACGGAGACAGATTCTTGCAGGACTTCCGGCGCCGACAAGAGATAAAATCTCCGGTGACGGAACTAAAAGCGCCATTGAATGAATATTTGTTGGGAAAAAGGAAGGATTTGAGGAGATATTGTACTAAACCCTTTGATCTATTCGAACGGCATGGAGTGAATTTCATGCGATGCGAATATTCGGGAGAGAGATTTGTTTGGTTGCAGGAAAAAATTGTGAAACTCATTGTCGATGGATGATGGAGGTGGAGGATTGGGTAAGGATAATAATTATGAATATGGGAAGTGAGGACTTCTTTTTTGTTTTGGTAAGTGTATATCTAAATCTCATTTAATTATCTAATCACATTTAATTTGCCCAAAAGATTCCTTTATAAACGGTTGAGTTGTGTACATCTCAGATCTGGTATTTTTGCAATATTTTGGGGATGAATTAGTAGGATTATAAATAAAACTAATATGATTGTAAAAATATTATATAAATAAAATATGATGGTATGGGGTGCAAATTCCTCCAATTTTATTTGTCAGTATGTTAGGTTGGCAAGATAGTAAAATTAATGAATAAAACTTCATCTTGCAAATGTGTCAATTCATATACGTCCACACTATCGTGGCATGCCAAATTCTCAGTATCTTGATGTGTCGGTGAATTATATATATTATTTTTAAGGGATCACTATCAGAGTAAATTAAATTTTTTACTAGCATTTAATTGCATGGATATCTAATTTTCAAAATATATTTTTCGACCCACTGTTCATAATACTTTAGAATAATTTAATTACCATTTCAAAATTGTTTGGAAATACAATTTGGATAGTGTTCTAAGTTTCTTAGGAACGCAAGCTGTAGGACAAGTGTATCTGGTTTGACAGAAAATGGAAATAGGAAGACGAACTATCTTATTAGTCCAAACATATTTAGTTTAGCAATTTTGCTATGGAGCCATCAGATGGCACGACTTATGGAGCCATCCACATTTATTCACAAATAGTGTGTTGACACGTGTCATACAATAAATACACTTTGGACATGTATCAATACATTAAGTGATGGATGACTCCATAAGAAAACCATCCAATGATTCCATAGAATTTCTGTTTAGTGGTATTGTTTAGTGGAACCTGATGAGTAGATACAAAACCACTAAACATGGAAAAAGGTTTCAGAAAATCGAATGACTAAGTGATAGGGAGATTACCGTCTAAAACGGGTGGTGCTACGAAAGTGGTTGCTGTTGCAATGGGAGAAATTTATCGAATAGAATTTTGGTTTGAGAAATTTTCTTAACGTATGTTTAGGAAAGAATTCAATTCTAGCTTCTAAATTGTAAATGGTTGGATATCACGTTTTTTTTAGTGGCAAGCTATTGTTTGGAGTTAAAACATTTGATCTAGTTTGGTAAATCGGTAAATAATTTCTACACTCAAGAATCAAAATCTCTCACATTGCAACAAGTGAAAATTTGTAATACATCGACTAAAACCAATAAGAGAAAAGTATCTTCAATAAATGAAATTTACAAAATTTTGGCATCTAAGTATAGGCAAAATAGATCTTTAAAACATCAATCAAAAGAATTTCTCTCTAAAAACTCTTTCCCCTAAATCAAAAAACTTTGTCGTCGCCTTCTCTGTCGAGCCTTCACCTCCTCTCTACTGCACAATCTGAGGCGCCATGGATCTAACCATCATTTGCCCGAGCAGCTCATCCCATTAGGATCCGTCGTCCCCTCCCCGATGTAAAGCTTCGCTGCACTCATTGATTGTCTATGGGTGGTGGAGTGGGTTCTGGCGATCGCCAAATTGGGTCGATCGGCTAGCTTGGCCTTCTCTAGT